ATATAGCAATAGTCAAAAAGGTAAAAAGCATTCAAATAGAGAAAAGGTGATGTCCACAAAATCAGCAAATAACCCAAATCCAAGTTAGGAGACAAATCAGTCCCAAAATCCAAGAAGCAAATCCATAGGAAGAAAGTCTTTCTTTTCCAAAGGTGGCAAATGCAAAAGTCCCTTGAAGAAACAGGAGCCAACTTGAATCAAATAATCTAAATGCAGTAGCTTGAAATCACAAACACCAGCTTACAAAAATCTCAGCATGTGCATGAATACAAAGCAAGATTATACATGATTCCCCGCATGAACAAGCAAGCATGAAGCAGGCATGAAAACCAAATGTTGGACTTACTGAAGAGTATAGACTCACAGGCCCTATATTTATTCAGAAAGCCATGGCAAAAGCATTCCCTTTCCCTTGGGAAACCTCTCCCTGACCCCCTGATTCTCTTAATCTTTCAGACCGTCTTCTGCCCCCTTCCAGGTATGATGATGATTGATTTGACTTCTCCTATCAAAGACTGGACTACTGCAATGCACTCTACGTGGGGCTGCCCTTGAAAACGGCCCAGAAATTTTAGATGAGCGGCAGCCAGGTTGTTAACTTGTGCTCCTTACAGGGAGAGGTCATCCCTCCTGTTCAAGGAGCTCCACTGACTGCCATTCATCTACCAGACCCAATTCAAGGTGCAGGTTCTTACCTACAAAGCCCTGAACGGTTTGGGACCCGCCTACCTGTGTGACCGCATCTCTGTATACGAACCCACACGATCTCTTCGTTCATCTGGAGAGGCCCTGCTCTCGATCCCACCAGCATCGCAGGCACGATTGGTGGGGATGAGAGAGAGGGCCTTTTCGGTAGTGGCCCCTCAACTCTGGAACTCACTCCCTAAGGACATCAGGCAGGCCTCAACCCTGGGGTCTTCAGGAGGAGCTTGAAGATGTGGTTGTGCGAGTGTGCCTTCCCGGAATAATGATCCCATAGCACTTTGTCCCTCCAAAGCACTTTATACTTTTAGGTCTGCTCGTATGTCTTCCACAAACGCCACTATCGCCTTTTCGTCCATGCCTCAGCACTTTTCCAATTTTAATTTTTACATTTGGCCTTCCCACAATTTTTAATTGTATGTTGTCTTATTGATAATGTTATATGTTTATCGTTTATGTTTTATTTTAATTGCTTGTATTGTTGTATTATTGCCTGCATTGTTGTGTTTGGGCTTGGCCTCATGTAAGCCGCACCGAGTCCCTTGGGGAGATGGTATCAGGGTACTAATAAAGTGTTGTTGTTGTTGTTGTTATTATTATTAAGAGTGTCTGGTCGTCCCTCAGCTTGCCAATTAGTACATTCCTTTCACTATCACTATCTGGCCTTGGCCGTTCAACCTTTTCCTCGGCCCCTTTTTCTGTTAGCATCGAAGCATCTTTGCCTTGGGAACCAACGATCCCAGAATCCTCTGGTTCACTCTGGCTAGAACCAGATACTGTGTCAAAGAAGAGTTCAGATTCAGAGCCTCAAGAGAAACAATGTTTGTTCATCTTGTCAGGCAGCCCATCTAAAGATTACTTAGAAACCATTTCTATTAACAACAAAGACATGAAAGGACTTCGAGATACAGGCTCTGAAGTATGTATAGTGCATCCAGAAATAATACCTCAGGAATTTCAGCGGCCTACCTCTGAAATAAGATTAAAAGGTTTAGGACCTGCGATACCAACAGCAGTAGTGACTTTGCCAATAGAATATGGAGGATGGAAGGGTATGTGGGATTTTGCAGTCAGTCCTGACATACCATACAGATGTTTAATTGGAAATGATTTGGCTAAGAAGATTGAAAGCTGGAGGATGACGTGTGAAGAGGAAGAATATAACAACGAAAGCCATGATCAAAAAGCCATGTGTTTTGCCATACAACAGGATGGGGAGGAGAGTCCGGAATCCAGCGCTACGGTTGCTGAGCTTGTTAAGAAGACGGGAGGAATTGAAGAAATTCGGCAGGAACAAGGAGCCGATGAATCTCTTAAACCTCTATTCGCTTTGGCTCAAAACCCCACAATATTGGCAAAAGAACAGCCCTCCGAGTTTGTGTTAAAGAATGGTGTTTTATATAGAAAAACCAGGAATGTGGAGTCAACAGAAGAATCAGTGACAAGTAGTCAAATTGTAGTGCCTCAAAGTTTTAGAGAACAGCTGATGAGGGTGGCACACGAAAACCCTCAAGGTGGACATTTGGGTGTGAGGAAAACCACAAAGAGAATCACTAAGAACTTTTATTGGCCTGGCGTGTTCCAGAAGATCAAAGAGTTTTGCCAGTCTTGTGACATCTGCCAAAGATTGAGTACTGGAAGGGATAAAATTAAAGCTCCTATGATCCCTATGCCAATAATTGGAGAACCATTTTACAGAGTGGGCATTGACATAGTGGGTCCTCTTTGTAAACCAAGCAGACGTGGTTACCGATACATTTTAACCATGATTGACTACGCCACAAGATATCCAGAGGCTGTAGCTCTAACTAACATCGAGACAACAACGATTGCAAATGCACTGTTATCCATTTGGGGAAGAACTGGTTATCCTAGAGAATTGGTTTCAGATTTGGGAACCCAATTCACTTCCAGACTTATGTCGAAATTGCTTGAGTTATGTGGTATCAGACACCTGACTTCAACAGCTTATCATCCACAGACAAATGGACTAGTTGAAAATATGAACAAGACTTTAGTCAAAATGATAAAGTCTTACAGTCAAGAGAAGCCATACGACTGGGACGTCAAATTGCAACAACTGTTATTCGCCTACAGGACCGTCCCTCATGACAGTACTGGCTACAGTCCATTTGAATTGCTATATGGAAGGAAAGCTCATGGTCCATTAGACCTGATAAAGGAATATTGGGAGGAAAGTCCGGCAACAGATCCAGTTCCAGTGTCGGAGTATTTAAAGGATCTTCAATCAACAATGCAACTGGCTAGGGACATTGCACAAGAACATTTGCTTGCGGCTCAGCAGAGACAAAAAGACTATTATGATTCTACTGCTAAACCAAAGATCTTCAACATCGGAGATGAAGTTTTATTTTTATCTCCCAACAAAACCAACAAACTTCAATTGGATTGGTCGGGACCCTGGAAGATCATCAGAAAACACAACCAAATAAACTATGATATTTATGATGAACATTCCAATGTAGAAAGAAGAGTCCATATAAACATGTTAAAGCCTTATGTTGAAAGGTCTGCTAATGTAT